AATTAACATAAAAGAAAATAATTTTAGTACTTTCAATTAAACTAATAATTTATTATTTTTCTTGATAACTATACCAAAAATTTAGCCACGGAAATAAAGTATTTTAATATCATCTTAAATTACTTTTTACCACTTACCTTATTTTTTTATTAAACTAATGTGATAATAAAATAATATATATTTTAAATATTTTCAATTATATGATAATGAACATCCCATAACCCTGTAATCACTGGTACACACACAATAAAATATTCTTAGTATTAAATTGACATAGAAAAGTACTACATATAATTAATTAATTACTTACAGATTAACTAGACTACCAGTTTAGTCCAATAATTAACATGAAGTAAATAGAAACAGTAAATAAAATTCTTGTAATAGAGCACATAAACAAGAAATATGTCCAACAAAATAAAACCTACGCAAAATTAGTTTTTTATTAATACTTTATTTTTCTCTTAATCTGCTGTGATTATAAGAATATATCTTTTTTAATTATTGACAATACACATCCTACATATGCAACTGTTTAAACGTAAAATTTTAAAAAATAACAACGTTCATTTTAACTACCAAGACCGTTAATGAGTTCCTATTAAATACTTTACTAAATACTATGATAAACAAGGCTTAAATAATATTTAATCACAAATTAAGGCTTAAAAGACACAAATACCCTTTTATACATAATAACCTAGAGAATTACTCGAGGGAAAATATTTATTAAAAAGAACTATGTGATTGTTAATGGTACCTTCGAATTTTATGAATTAGGTTTTACATTATTCCTTTTTTTTATTATATTTGATCGAATTCCCGTTTCTTTTTACAATTCATATTCACAGGGGAATTTACATAACTGGGAGTAGTTTAATCGGTGCCGCTATTAAAGCTCCTCGAATCACTTCCAAGAATCTAATTAGGTAATTGTTTTTCCTTTTCGTTTTTTCTGTTGAATTGCTTTTATTGATACTGGAATGCTTCGGTAAAATCAACGAGATAATGCGTTGAAATTTTTTTTTTCACGAGATAGTGCCATCGCCAGATGGGATGATCTCTACAGTCCCCATATAGGTCGCCAGGTGCCCCGGGCGACGTCCCTGTTTGATGGGGTAGGTCGACCTACCAGGTCGCCATGCACACCCAACGACCTAGGTAGGTCGCCATGCAATCCCCAAAGGTCGCCATGCAGTCCATGCATCTGGATCCTCGTCATCAAGGTCTTATAACATGTAGTTTTCCCTAAGAGTTTTACTATGACTGAGTTTTGCATACTTTGATCAATGGTTTCATGCATACGTTCAGAAAATTGGATTTTGATCAATTACCACCTAGTCCTCCAGAAGAACGATATCATCATCTTCAAGCATTCCTAATCTCGATTGCGCACTTTTTCTTGCTCCAGCCACTATGTCGGCGTAAGTTCTCTCTCCCTCATGAATTTCTAGTTTGTTTAGGGTTACGATCTCGTTCACTTTTCCAACTCTTCCTACTTCAGAATCCTCCATGAAAATATCATCAGGTGCATTAGGTGTCAAAATAACTAGGTCTTTTCCTAGCAATTCTTCAGTTTTCTGTCACCCCCTCCCCAGCAAGTTTTGGGTTGAACTTCGCAGTCTCGGGTTCGTTTCTTCTTATTGTTGCTTCCTTAATCGGGCTTGGTCTGTATCGTCGGGTGGTTTGTCACCATGCTTCCCGATAGAAAGCACTCATTGGCTATATTGTTAGGGTTTTCCATCGAGAGAGTTTTTCTCGCGTTGTTTTTTATTAGCTACCATTGGCCATTAGACATTAATAGCCATTGGCAAAGGAACCTTTTGTTTTGTTACTTTAAGGGTGGCAAAGAGGAAGGGAATCTCAGCAGGGCTAAAAAGCCGGAAAAAAAAGGTGCAGCGCAGCACTACAAAAGAATATGTAGATAGAGGCCCGATGAGATGCTGCATGCCTCATATATATATATTTAAAATTATATATTTGCCAAGCATGGACTACATGGCGACCTTTGGGATTGCATGGCGACCTACCTAGGTCGCTGCATTGCGACCTACCTAGGTCACTGCATGGCGACCTACCTAGGTCGCTGGGCGTGCATGGTGACCTACCTCAGGACGTCGCCCGGAGCACCTGGCGACCTATATGGGGATTGTAGAGATCACCCCATCTGAGCAATTAATCTGGCGAGGGCACTATCTCGTGAAAAAAAAAATTCAACGCATTATCTCGTTGATTTTGCCGGAATGCTTCCCTTCTAATTATTTTTATTTTCAGAAGCCCTAATCTATTAATTAGGTTTCAATGATTTATCGATAAATTGCCTTAATAATGCTTATTATTTCAGATTCCTTGAGTTGAAGTAAAATTTGTCGATGAACTTTGAAAATCGGATGGTGGAAACTAGGAAGCTTGACTATTTATTATATTTTTAAAGTTTTATGTATAGTCCTTAGCCCTGGATCTGTATAATGTTTATGATATGAACATGGATCCAGCTGTAAGGCGAAAAGAAAGGGTGTTTTCTTAACTACAATCGCGATTAAGAAGAATATTAATAATTTTAGTTCTCTTGTGTATGGTGTAGATCCTTTCTATTTGTTCCCATATATTGCACTGCAAGTCTAGAGATGGCCTCCCAGTAATGTCTGCTTAACTTACTTGGTTTGATTAATTTCTGCTGGATCTGTTGTAAATTAGAGTGGATGGACTAATGGAAAACGATCATTATTATTATTGTTGTTGAAGTTATTGTCAAACGATTATTGGTCATGAGAACGGATTCAATACCTAAAGACGGCCCATCTTTTTCAACTGGATTTGTTCAAACTTTTTGCAGTGGTTCTGCATGCCAATCGAAGTAGTAAATTTTACTTCTGCCATTTTATTGCAGTGTAATCTCTGTGAAGCTGTTGCTATATATGGTGTAATTGTTGCAATTATTTTACAAACAAAGTTAGAGAGGCGTGCCATCGTCACAAATATATGCACCAGAGTCTCTTAGAGCAGGATATGCAATCTTTGCTTCGGGAATTATTGTTGGCTTTGCAAATCTTGTTTGCGTGTTCATCTCTATCTTTTTTTTTTTCATTTAGTCTTTAAAAAACATGATCTAAACTGAAGTTATGCTTATTTCTGTGTGTACTTATTGTTTCCTATTTTGTGACAGGTTATGCGTAGGAATAATCGGTAGCAGCTGTGCACTGTCCGATGCACAGAACTCTTCTCTTTTTGTGAAGATTCTTGTGATTGAGATTTTTGGAAGTGCCCTTGGACTATTTGGAGTGATTGTAGGTATAATCATGTCAGCTCAAGCAACATGGCCTGCAAAATCTGTGTAATTACATGGTCTATGTAGGAAAAATAGCAACTCATTTGTGTGAGAATGCAATCTGTTTATTGCACCGGTTACCACATATGACCTCTACATTCTTTTCCCCTTTATTTGTCATCAGTAGCCATGTATGTAGAAACTTGCTTGGAATTGTTATCTCTTCTGTATTTTGGTCTGAGAATTATTTGTCGAATAAGAAAATAAAATTTATTGTGAAAACCATGAGTTATTGGTTCTTTTTTGTGCTGAATGACAAGGTTTGTTCTGATAATGATTTGTCTCCGTTTGTGTAGAAACCTGCTGGGAATTTCTTCTGGCAAATTTTGTTCTTTCATTGACCATCATACTTGAACTGAGAGTAGGTAGTTCCAAAGCTCGACTCGACAATGATTGAACTAGAGTAGGTCGTTCGAAAGTTCGACTCGACAATGATTGAACAAGAGTAGGTTGTCTGAAAAACTCGACAATGATTGAACAAGAGTATGTCATTTGAAAAAACTCAACCCGACAATGATTGAACGGGAGTAGGTTGTTGGAAAGTTCGACTCGACAATGATTGAACGAGAGTAGATCGTTCGAAAACTCAACTCGACAATAATTGGGTTGAATTTCAAATACAAGAAAAATTAAAATTCTTTGAGTTGAACCAAGATCATTTTTTATCGTAGGCAATGGTGGATTTAAAAATAGGGTCTAAAATATACTTTTTTTTTTAATAAAATAGATATGCAAATTTCTCTCTCTTTCCCTTGATATGATAAATTAAATTTTATGACTTATTCAAAATAATGAGGATGTACTTGAACCGTATAAAACTTTTAATGCATCCGCCCTTGACTATATGTTACATTTACACTTCAAATTATACAACACAAAAAGGATTTATGATAAATGCAATGAAAATTTGAATAAAGCATAAATTATTAATTTGTAAGTAATTATACAAATATAAAAGGGTTTATGATGTTTTGTACTTATAAGTATACAAGATAATGATAAATACAATGAAAACTGTTGTGCTTTCAATTTCATGGCCTACAATTGGGACTATTGTGCTTTCAATTTCATGGTCTAAAATAAGGTGATAATTTGATATGAATTCGATAACATTTTCATATTATGTTATTTTTTAAAATATTATTCACATTTGGATTGGATCGGGCATTGTAAAGAAAAACCATGTCGAATTCACGTTTAAGGTGAAAATCTTCAATAAAACATGACATGGGACAATAATATAAATTTCATCTATATATTTAGGGATAATTGATATAGTATCACTCTTTCTATATTTTTTTCAATTAAATCCTTATTTTACGGAATAAAAATATTTTTTTAATATTTATATCAAGTTGGGTCTATATATATAAATTTTTTCTCAAATTCCAATTCAAATGAGATTCCTAAACTTAAGTTGGTTCGAATTTATGTAAAAATATATGCTTCTCGGATCAAATCAGTGGGTAGAAAAACCTACAAACCAACTTTAATAGGGACTTTTATTTTGAAAGAAAGGCCCAAACCCAAAATTATAGGGAATAACACTTGAAATGTGGGCTGAATCTCAAGACAAAGCAGAGAAATTTCACGGTAAAATGGTAGCCACCAAAATCAACGAAAAGCAGTGGGAAAAGAAACACCAAACCCCCCCCCCCCCCAAAAAAAAACCCCAAATTTTCTCCCTCTATAGGAAGGGGCAAAATCTCTCCACCGTCGCTGTAAATTTACAAAGCCTACCTTTCCTCTGTCCGTACAATCCCCTCACAACGCCATTGTTACAACTTATATCCCCTCCCCCTCCGCAAATCTTTTGTTTTATTGGACCAAAAAAGAGCTAATAAAATGGCGGGTGGGCGAGAAGTAGCAATATCACTAGATGGTGTGAGGGACAAGAACGTGATGCAGTTAAAGAAGCTCAACACTGCTATCTTCCCTGTTCGTTACAACGAAAAGTACTACGCCGATGCTCTGGCTTCCGGCGAATTCACCAAGCTTGGTTTGCCTCCTTTCCCCCTTAATCTTTTCTGGGTTTTCACTATTTTCTTTTAGAAAAATGTTTTTCTCTCGTTGTTAAGTTCAATTCTTGTTTGGTTTTTTCCTTCGCAATTGTTTCTTTTTGAATCTTGGGGTTTTCTTTGTTGTTCTTCAGTATATTTCATCTAATGGGAAATTTATTGTTGCTTTTTTTTCCTGGCTTCCTATATGGGAATTTAATTTGTCGGTCTTGATTTCTGCCCTCAATTCTCTTGTTTTAGTTATTTACATCGGTAAATTATTGGCCTTTTCGGGGCTAGTTTGATTTACATTGACACTTGATGATATGCATGATTGGCATATGAAATTAATGAAGTTGAAACTTCTTCTTAACATGTTTATATTCTCTGAGACCCGACATTGTTAGCCTACACTTCCGGTTTTCGACGGGAACTATAACTGGTCTTTTCAGTTATCAGTAGTGTCCTCCCATTGCATTATTGGTAAAAGTAATTTATTTGTTGGATTAAGTAGTTCCACTTTAGATAACCTTGTTCTATTTATTGTTTGCGGCAGAATTTAAGAACTAATCCGTTTAGTTTTTTCGCTCGTCAATAGTTGGGGTTTATGAAACTTTAATCGATCAATCCATATCCCGCATTTCATTTGAGCCTTTAAGCAATAGGTAGTAGCCGTCAGTAAATTTTTTTCTGGAGAATTTTCAAGTCATAAAATCCCTAGCTAAAAATTTCCCGATTCGGAAATTTGCTACCCTGCATTGGAGGGTTGAGCTTGATGGTCTATATCTTATCACTGAAACTGTAGGAATTTCAAAACCTGTTATTTTTTGAAGAGTAATTATCCTATCACTTTGTTCTGTCTTGGTAAATGCATATTTGTTTTATTTTCTCCTTAATCCTTAAGTCATGCTCAAAGAAATACACTCGATTAAAGTTTTGAGTGACTAGGCTCATCTAACTCTACGATCTTAGCAATGTGCAGAGGATGTTTGAGATGTCTTTGTCACAATGCCTTCAGCATTTGATATCAATTACTAGTATGGTGCATTTATGGGTCGAAATAATTAATGTTTTTCTTTTCAATTTGATGGATTGGAACAAATTGTGGATGGTTACACATGCACCACACGCATATATCATCATATTTATATGATTGGTATACATGCTATTACACGATTTGGGGTCTGATGAGAGATTAAGTTGGAGAATGACCTGTATAATTCAAAAGTTAGCATGTTATTCTAACAATCATTCTTTTGCTTGCTAACTCAGCATATTACAGTGATATCTGTGTTGGATCAATTGCTTGTCGGCTGGAAAAGAAGGAAGGTGGGGCCATCTGTGTGTACATCATGACATTGGGTGTTTTAGCACCATATCGGGGCCTAGGAATTGGTGAGTTGACAAAATCAGTTTTTTTCTCCCGGAGTAGATCTCTCAAGGAAATAAATGGGATAATCTCAGTTCATACATGTTGACCTTTAAATTGTTCTAAGCATCTGACCATTCTTGTTGCTACTCGGGATGCTTAAATATCATGAAAGCATAATCAATTTGATGCTTAGCTAATTGCTTCAAACATTCTTTTGACAAAATTACGTTGCCATTGATTTTTAGTAAGGGCAATAATCTTGTATCATTGATTTTGCCATTAAATCTTGAATTTATGCAGGTACAAAGCTATTGAACCATGTTCTTGAGCTTTGTTTGAAGCAACACATACCGGAAATCTATTTGCATGTTCAGACAAACAACGAAGATGCCATCAAGTTCTATAAGAAATTCGGATTTGAAATCACGGAGACTATCAAGAACTATTACACAAACATTGACCCTCCCGATTGCTTTGTTCTTACCAAGTTCGTCGCTCCATCACAAGAGAAGAAATAACAATTCAAAGCTAGTACTGTTCTCGGAAGGGCATTATTTATTGTTGTGGCATTGAATTTGATCAGTTCCTATACATTTGGGAATTATTTTGATGATAAGGATGCTGTAATGCACGAATGGCATGAGTTATGGCATTAATGAGTCGTGATTTGATGGGTTTATTTATAAACACTTCTTTCACCTTTTGAGCTGAAATTTTGTTAGTCTTGTTCAGTACATTTGTTGTTCAATGTGTAACATTGTTCTGATTAAATGGCTTAGTTGTTCAGTTACTAGGAAATTTTGTTAGTCTTGTTCAATATATTTATTCCATGGAATCATAATGGCCCGTTATTTCCCGAATTGCCATTTCTCGAAGGCTGAACCAGTCACCAAACCTTCTTTTATTTGGAGGCAGCTTTGACGTAGAAGGCCTCGTATATGCAAAAGAACTAAATACACTTTATTCGATTTTAGTTTGTTTAATAAACGAATATATAAAAAAGAGGGGAGAGGTGGGGGGAATCAAACTGTTGATGAAAATATATCGTATGTACAGGTTCAAATTCGAAAAGAAGTGGATATGATTTCTTGCATTATCTACATGAATGTGAAATACAAACGGTTTGGCACAAGTAATTCTGAGACAACCAGTGTCGACTGTTGTCAGTAAGCTAAACCACCGGCAAATGCATCTCCGTCGTGAAGTAAACTCTCTGTCAACCAATAACCATCCCAAGAACCACCGACCCGCTGCCGATAACAAGTTACAAACAAAGCAAAGTGTTATTTCCAAATTTCTAATAGAATAAGCTACACCACCAGTTTATCCTCTATGTTACAAGATCCTATATTTCACATGGAAACTGAAATAAAAAGTAAAACCAATTGAGTCTATAACATAATCATATTTTCAGGCCTCTCCTATGAGTAGGGGTGCACAAAAATCTGAATATCCGAATTTGCGAAAAAAATATCCGAAACCGGATTTGGGAAAAACCTGTTTTTTTTTAACCGGATCGGATTTTTTTAAACCGATTATTTTATCCGGTTTGGAGAAAAAAACCTAGACCGGTTTTTTTACCGGATAAAAAATCGGTTTGAAAAAAACCGGTTAAAAAATCGGTTTTTATCCCGAAAAAAAACGGTCTGGGTTTAAAAAACTAGCCGGTTTGTTGCAATTGACGACGATGTAATTTTAATAATATTAAAATCGATTTTTTTATAACCGGTTTTTAAAAAAAACTGGTTTTTTTAAAACCGAAGCCGATTACACCAGTTAGGATATCCGACCCTCCAAACCTATTAGAAACCGAACCGGTTATTTTATAAACCGGTTTTTTTTCTATGGGAAAAAACCGGATCGGATAAAAACCGATCCGGATCAGATTGAAATCCGACTTATGTGCAACCCTACCTATGAGGGACGAAGCTAAGATTATAGTTTTGGGGGCAAAGTATAACATTTTTGAAAGCGAGGGGGCAATTTATAATTATCCCATAAATATTTAAATTTTATATATATACACGTAAAAAATCTTTTCGGGATTGGGGGCCTACAGCCCCTCCCAGCATCCATTTAGTTCTGTCCCAGAGTCAGGTATGTGTCTGACATGAGTATGTACATTTTTTAGTTTCTTTTTTTCGATGTCGGTGGGTCATCGGAGGCCACAGGTCATATCCTTACATACCTATGTTGGGAGATATGTGGGAGATTGGTGCTGGATACATGTATTTCAAGAAGAAAAAAAATGAAAGGCCATAAAACATTAATATGAAGGTAAACTATTTCCCATGTTTAAATATATGACTTAAAACACAAACTTCTAGTTGATTCAATTGGTAGAGCTTAAGGCTCTTAATCTTGTGGTCGTAGGATCGAGTCTCACGGTGGGCAATTCATAATTGTCGGAAGTCTTCCACGGAAGTTACTCTCAACCTAGCGTTGGGAACAACCTACTACTCTACCTCCCCTTACCCCATTACATATGGGAATAGAGTCAGCTAATTTCTAGTTGATTCAATGATGATTCCACCTTTTAATACAACTAAAATTTGCTGACACCGCTGAAAAGGTTTTTAGCGATTCAATATGATAAAATTTGATTCAATCCGAAAGTTGATAATATTTTTACTATCTAAAGACCTTAAGAAACCAAAAATAGAAACATGTCATATAGCACAGATGGTATTATTAGTTCCTAGGAAGAATTGCATAGCAAAAAGGTTCAACGAATAAACCTGCACCATTGTAAACTCAAATACTTCTTCCTCGTTTGGACGACTTCCGAGTATCCAAACCCGTTGTTTGAATCGGTTCTGCTCCACCATGAAAACAAAACGACAGGCGAGTAGAAAGAAAACAAGGTTACAGACATGGAAAAGGTCTGTAAACAACTCAATATGTGAATCAATCCAATACCTCCTTTACAAACAAACTGCTCAAGACCTTCCTCTCCTTGTGGCCAAGCAATACTCGATATCCTGAATGGTGAAAAATCCGCCTAAACCGCTCGAACTACATATAGATGAAAGCAGAAAAAATGCATCAGCATCTATAGAACTAAGAATGATAAAACTGCGAAAAATTCTAACAGACTGACCTGGCCTAGATCAAAGAAGGGTCCAAAATATGTAGACCTTTCAAAAGGATCAAATCCTGCAAACTGTCACCGGATTTCAATCGCCAAAATTCCAAACAAATCATATTTATAGAACAATTAACATGTAAAAAAGGAAGAAAGAAAAGAATTGAATAATAATAGGAATTACCCTGTACATTACTTCAATCCCGTAATCCTGTCGAGGTTGGTCATTGTATTTCAATGCATCAAGTTGGTGTTTAACAGCTTCTTCCGCACTAAACTATAACAAAAATTTTAACTTAGTTACTTGATACCGGTAAAAAGCAAATAACAAAAAGCATCAATCAGCGGCAGGGATGAACCGAGGGTGCTAGGTGCGGTCACACTCCTAGAAATTTTAAAGTAAGTATTTTCTTTATATTAATGATCGGCTCCTGGAAAATTATAATTTTACACACCTAGTTATTTAGTATAACATCCTAAGTTCACACATCTACATAAAATTTAGAATCCCTCTCTGATCAACGGAACTTTGTTTACATAAACAACAATTAGAAAACTACGAACTTACATTTAGCCTTGGGCCAAAAGGTCTTTTCCTTCTAGATTCAAGCCTGGAAATTGAACCAGAAAAAAGGGTATGAATTATATCACCATATATATTTATAGAGAAATCAAAGTTTTAAGAAATCGGAAGAACATACCAATCAGCAGAGAGGAAATCGGGGACGTCAGCAGAAGAAGAAGAAGAAGAAGCTTTGATGAATCCATGGGTGAAGATTTTGTGTTTGCTGGAGAAGAGAGACATGGATTTTGCAGTAGAGAGGGAACAACATAACGACATCGTATCGTTTTGGCTTATCCTTCTACCCTTTGACAAATTCACGATCGCTTCTCTTCTCTTTGAGCTCCTTACGTGCGGGAAATGAAGATGAGGCTGAAGTTGGGTTGATTCATCTTCTCTGTTAATCCGACGGTGTGGACTTATCTCGTTATTTATGATATTAAAAGAGTTAATTGCACAATACATTCCCAATCTATGACTATCCTTTTACATTAGTCATCAAACTTTTAAATATTCTAATATCATTCTTAAATTAGGACTCTTATTCTAAATTGATCTCTAAACTTTTGAACATTTTAAATTCATCTCTAAACTACGACCCTCATTCTATATTGATCCCTAAACTTTTGAATGATTTAGGGGGATGTTATTGGAATGTTCAAATGTTTGGGGATCAATTTAGAATTAGTGCTATAGTTTGAGTATGAATTTAGGATGAAATTCATAATTTGGGAGAAATGTTTAAAATTTTAGGGTTCAATTTAGAATGAGGGTCATAGTTTGAGGATGTATGATGAAATTCACTCATATTAAAATATTTCTAAAACTTTAAGAAATTTTGAAAATTATAAAACAAAAATATTATTTTTTGATGATGAAAACAAAATTATTATTATTTTATGATAATGTGAACTAGTTATATATATTTTTTTTAAATTATAGTTATTTTTTTAATTTTATAAATCACAGTTTAGAACCTAAAAATGATTAAGAACACTTTTTTAAATTTAAAACCACTAATTATTCACTTCTTTAAAATTTAAAAGGTTTATTTTTAATTTAATTTTCAAATTATGGATTTTTATTTTTAAAAATAAAAAATTCTAACAATAATTTTAAAAAGAGTTAGTATAAAAATTATAAGTAACAATATAACAAACATAACTATACTTTTATTTTTATAGTTTTCTAATTTTAAAAAGACATTTTAAGATTTTTAGAAATACTATAATTTTTCTAATTATTTTAAATTTTAACTTTTTTATACTATTTCATTTTTTTGATTTATTAATTTTTATTTTATGATTTTTTTAAAAAAACTTTTTAGAATTGTTATATAAATCATAAAAACACTATGTTTACTAAAAGAACGTATTATTATGCAATTATCCCATATAAGTGATCACCGCTCTGCTTCTGCTTCACTTGAACAGTTACATTCGTTCGATGTGGCGTCCTCCTCCTCCTCTCCGTCTCAAATTCCTTGCGCCCGCCGCCATAGCCGATATCACCGTCATGTCCTATTACCAACGTCCCGTAATTCTTCTCAAAACACATTACTCTCTCTAGTCTCTACTATATTATATCTCCAACTATATATGCACTTTCAATTTCTTCTAAATGTAACAGCATCGAGGCGGTCGAAATCGATGGGGCCGGAGCTTCTCCGACCAAAGCAACCGCGGAGGAAGAGGCCATATAGTCACAGGAGACTCGCACTTGGACTCAGTTCGGGAAACGAATCCAGGCTCCAGTCGAGGAAATTTCTCCAATCAGTACTCCTTTCAGCCTCAGCAGTTCGGTTATAACCCTAGGTCTCCATATCCTTACAACCACCAAAACCAAGAGTTTTTTCGCCAGCCGCCGCCTAATCCTCATCCGTTCAACCGTTATCAACCGCCCCGCCGACCGTTTGATCAAAATCAGGCGGCTAAGCCCTTCCGTCCCCACAATTCCAAGCCCAGGGACTTCCGGGAATGGGAGTACGCAAAAGCTCCACCGCCTCCGTGTTCTGGTATTTAATCCCAGTCTCTTGAATATCTGTATTTTCATTGCTTTTGTTACTTAAAAAATTAACTTTTTAAATGGAAATTTCCTTTTGCAGATAGATTTATTGTTCTTTCATATAATATACTGGCGGATTACCTTGCTAGTACCCATCGAAATCTTTACTTCCACATACCTTACCATATGATGAATTGGGAGTGGAGGATGAGGAATTTAATGTTTGAGCTAGGTTTATGGTCAGCAGATATTTTGTGCTTTCAGGTTATCCTTTACCATATGTTTCAGAACTGCAATGAAGTTTAACAGAATATGGAGCCCGTAATTTGATTATATTTTCATCTTGAAAATTGTTGATTTGCTAGAAAGCTTGCTCTACCCATAATCAGTTAATACGTAGGTTTTAAGTTCATTTAGTAGCATCTCACTTGAAGGTTTTTGTTTTCTTACATCTGCTTACTCTCTGAAAAACACCACCAGCATTGAAAAAATTACAGAACTTATGAAAATAGATGAGCGGTAAATAAGTGTTCACAATAGTGGCTCTATTATGGACTCCAGCAATATGGTAGGATTTTTTAGGGTTTATATTCTCACTAACTTGGCCGGGAGTGCCTATTATTTCTGGAAATGCATATTTATTTTTTAGTGGGATTTTATTTTTGTTTTGATGGGTTGGTAACCAGGAATATTTTCTCTCTCTCTCTTAAATTTTTATTATTATTATAAGAAGTAAGAACTGGGTCTATCATCCTTTAATATGAAATGTTATGTTTCCTAATACCATGTTTTCAGGAGGTTGATAGATTTCATGACTTGGAGCAGCAGTTGAAGTCAATGGGATATAGTGGCATTTGGAAGGTTCGCTATGAAATGATTTTAAGAGCAGAACTTCTAGCTCAACTGTGACTTCTGTTTTACATTTCTATCGGAAATGGAAATGCCATGCTTTTACTTAATGTACATGCAAACAACTTTGCCTTGGAGAGCTGAGTTCTGACTTATTTATTGGGCCGTTTCACAGATGCGAACTGGCAAAGCAATTGATGGTTGTGCAATCTTTTGGCGAACATCAAGGTTATTAAATCATCATCTTTTTTAGTATATAACAGTCAGCAGTGAGTTTTAATTTACTTACCGGTCCTTTGAGTATTTATTTTATTTGCTGCATGAAGCTTATCATTTCATTTTAAGCAGGAGGTCAGCTTTCCGTTTTATTGTTGCTGCAATTATGTATTTTGTCCTTTTTAAGATCCATGCTACAACATACTTTTCAATGTGCCTTTTAGTTGTTTGCTTTCCACTTCGGGGCAGTATTAGTCCCTCCCCCAAATAATAAGACATAGATTAATGTTGAGAGAAGACAAACCAAATTCCTTAATCTATCTGCCACTGTTTCAAAACAAGTGGCTACAATAGCAAAACCACATCATGTATATTGCCGCAAAAATCCCTTAATGATAGGGTATTTGAATGCTTCGCCTTTTCGATTTATTTACCTACCCAGGATTCCTTTCAATGGTGTGGTCTGAAGGGAGGATATCAGTGTATTTCATGGCCTTTTCAATGGCATGGATGTTCCCTTCTGTGTGTGTAGCAAGTTACTGGTCAAGGGTATCTTGATTGATGGTGTAAGATGCCTGGATTTTCTGTGGCTCTTATCCATCTCAGATTTTGGATTCTTTTGTTTTTTTTGTTATTATTTTTTGGTCCTTCCTAACTTTCATTTTAGAGTATGTAATAATTCCTTGTTGACGCTGTTAGATTTGACCCCTTATTACATATTTCTTTTGGGTAATGTAGCATACTGATTCCTCTGATGATTCGTATATTAGGTTCAAGTTGCTTCATGAAGAATATATAGAGTACAACAAGCATGAACTTCGGGATAATGTTGCCCAGATATGTATTCTTGAGGTCTGCTACAACTTTCTAGTCCAGTCTTGAATGGAACTGTCAATTTTATTGTGGTTTCTTGGTTAGATCTGATCCTGACTTTCTTTATTTTCCTTGGTATGGTTATATGGCTTTGACTGGTATTTGTTTACTCCTTCCTCAACAGTTATTGAGCCAAAATTCCTCCGAAAATACAGCAGATCCCTTAAAAAGGTACTAAGGGAAGTATATGGTTTAAAATTGTTTAATACTTTTATGTCAACAATGTAAAAAAAGTAACCTGTAACCGTTTCTTAAGTAACTTGCAATAGAATTTTCTTCTAAATGTAATCTTGAATCAAGTTTTATATTCAGAGATATTGTATACTAAGCTCCCAAAGGAACCACGTTGGTGAAGAAATTGAAACTCCAATGTGGAAGTTTTGGGTTCAAATCATGGGAAGAGAAGGGTGGAATCTATGAAATGAGAAAGGACTACCATCTATCATGTAGCATGAGGTCATATGTAAACCCAGCCCCCCACCCCCCCAAAAAAAAAAATTTGAGATTTCCTACTAGAAGAGGTTTAAACCCAAATTTTACCTGCCATTTTTTCATATAGTTCTTGTGTTTTGTTGATCTGATGCAGAATGTTAAATGTCATAATTTGAGGTTTTTTTTCTTGCGCTTTGTATGCAGTACTTTTAAATTAAAACATTGAATTTTTGTCTCATTTCAATTCTTCAAAGATATTAGCTTTTATTTGCAGCTCAGCAAATTCAAATAAAGTTGTCATCTGTAACATTCATGTCCTATATAATCCAAAAAGAGGAGAAATTAAGCTTGGCCAGGTATTCAATTTTCTGGAGTTGTTATTTGTTTTTTATTTTTTTTAATTTCCAGAATACCTTTTTATTGTCACCTCTCTTCTGGAGGCCATGGTTCCTGATTACACCACCTTACAAGGATCTGTCTTTCTGCTCATTTGCAAGGTTAATGCATTTTGTATAATCTGAGGTTAATCTGCCATGTCAAATTCTTTCGGTCACTCCATATTTGACATGAATAGGTTTGCCTTGTGTGATGTAACTTTTGTTGCTTTTTATTGCAAATGTGATGTATAAGCCCAAAATCTATGGAAAAAGAACCGATTTTGGATAGCATAGAGCTGAAAACATTAGAATAACTTCTGATTTGCTTCTTTAGCTTGGACACATTCACACATGGAAAACAAATAGCCTTATCATTTCCTTCCTTCTTACTGCCACTTTCTCCCTAATATGATCTGCATACTTTTTTGAATCCTTATTTTCCCTAAAGTGCCCGTGTCAAACTTGTATTCGACCCTTCAAAGTGGACATGGATACGAGGCTCCAAAAAAAGTTCAGGAAACGATGAAAGCACCCACATTAATTTTTCTACCCAACAGCAATAGTCTGTTCATGAATAATAATCATTCAAGTGTTTTACCGCTGTTCTTCTCAAACAGGTTAGGATGCTCCTAGAAAGAGCTCATGCTTTTTCAAAGAGTTGGGATGATGCTCCAGTTGTTCTTTGTGGGGATTTTAATTGTACTCCCAAGGTTATCTTGTCTTTTGCACCTTAAGCTTTAGTTAGGCATTATCCACATGGTTCATTTCTGTTTATATTTATATTATAAGATTTTCTACTTTGATAATTTATGTGGATCACACTTCTGTAACAGAGTCCATTGTACAACTTTATCTCAGAGAAGAAGGTAAATGCATTTATATGTTCTTTCTTCTTTTTTATGATGGATGATGAAGTAAGATTGTAATTATCCTGTATGGGGCAGTTGGATTTGTCGGTGGTGGATAGAGACAAGGTGTCAGGACAAGCTTCTGCAGAAATTCCTCTGCAGACATATAATCCTAATTCAGGGTGGGAAAAATTAATAACTTTTGGGTATATTGCTGATTGTTGAAAATAAAAAGCTCGCAAATATTACAGGGCTCAGTCTGGTGATTTTCCTGCACGAGTTCCTCCAGCTGTAGATTCCATGGGAATTGGTATGGATAAAAACGATTCCCAATCAGATACGAAGAAACAAAATAATCTAGACAGAAATAATATGAAAGATGCTTCTGTAAACTCGTCCCAGTCCAGTGAGACAATGCAGGATTTGTTAGATATGTCCTGCAAGAATTCACAAAGGGGAGACAATTACAGTGCAGAATATGATGAAGTGACAGAAGAAATTCAGCATGATGCAGTTGGTGTTGCAAAATGTGAAACGGGATTAGCATTCTCCGGAAAATTTTCTGTAAATCAGATGGATGATGATGTGCGAAGATTTTCTCCGGGCAATTCTTCTTGTCCTGAAAATGTGTGCTCCAACATGACTGAGATGGAGCCTATAGGAAAAGATGTTACCATCCATTCTAATAAAAGATTGGATGACATTGTGAGGGATGATCATTTCAACAGGTTCACAACTGATCCTGAGTCATTAGAGTCATTTTCTAATGTTGGCAGACCTTCAGTTCCTTCTCAAGTCGACTTCTCAGGTCTGTCTGATGGCATTGATATAGAGTTAGAAGAGAAAATGGATAATTTGTCTCTTGAAGAGCTTAACAAATCTATGGTAGAAAGTGAAAATATTGCTGAAGACAGTAATGCATTTATTGATGCGTTATATGGTAATCAAGATGTCTATCCTCCAAACTCGGGTCAACCAGTAAATTCAGATTTGGATCATTCATCCAAGGAATTTTTCAGTTCCCAGGACTCGCAGTTTTTGCTACCAAGTGAGGAAGTTCTGGATGATTTATCACCTTCCTTTGATTCCGGATTTGCTCATATTGAGCAGACTACTTATGATCCATGTGCATGGGGCCCAAAGGAAATAGCTACTGCAGCTGGCCTTGAGGACTGCAAGTTCCTGGAGCACCCTCTGCAGCTTAAAAGTACATATACAGAAGTCAAGGTGGATCATATTGGAGCGTTACTTTTGTAGTCTTTTGAGTGATTAGATATCTTCTAGCATAATGAGTTAATGACCACTGAACTAAATTTAAGTTTGAAACTCTTCCCTATTTTACAGGATTCTCCGGGTACAAGAGACTCTCACGGAGAACCCCTTGTGACTAGTTACAATAGGCGCTTCTTGGGCACGGTTGATTACATATGGTAAGTTCTTCTAATCTTGTAGTGGTTAGGTTATTGAAATATTTTAGAGCCATCAAATATTGTTGAACAAAGTTGCAGCATTCTTATTGTTCTCCCTGTAAAACTATGGACACATTTGACTTGGGTTTAGTATCTTAACAATTATACACTATTTTTGTTTTGGGTATTATACAAAGGAATTCAATGTGGAATGGAATTTCCAACCTTGGATCATACCACTTCTTGATGGCTAACAACCACATGGTCCACCTTCCTACCTAACTTTTCTTCTTTCAGGGGGCAGTATGTATATTTTATCCAAGCCAAGCAATTATTACATAATATCCAATTAATATGTGTTCATTTGTTATCGAGGCTTTTGGCGTGATCCCTTATCTTTCGTTTCTCGTGGTTTAATCTAGTCAATTGAAATAAGCAACTAGGTCTTTTACATTCATTTAAAAGTTTTGGGTTGTAAAATACCGCTGATATGCAGATATTATTATTAATTATATTTATTACACGGATCTGCAATCCAGGCGTTCTGAAGGTCTTCAGACTGTCAGGGTGCTTGCTCCATTTCCAAAACAAGCTATGCAATGGACTCCGGGATTTCCAACAAAGGTATGTTGATGGAACATGGTTCATATGAAAGCTCTATTTCTCCCTTTAGTGCGTTGCAATGTCAATAAGGTATGTTCCTTTTTCCTGTCTTTCTTTTTCCAGAAATGGGCTAGTGATCATATTGCCTTGGCATCGGAATTGGCATTCACAAAAAACCGGAGCAATCAATAACGCAAAAGTTAAGTTGCTAGGAACTATTTTTATGTTTGTGGGTTGTGATGCTAGCTCCCTAACATTCAGTTTTGGCTGATCTTGCATGTTCCTCTTGTATTATTATAGTTATATGACGGAATTCGTTTGTTGATTATAATTGGGTGTTTTAATTTGATTAAACCTATAATTTTAAATAAGACAATGTAATACCATAACCACTTTGTTGTGTTCTTGCATATGTAGTTTTTGGTAGAATAGGTGGACTAGTTTCCGCAGCACAAGCTTGGGGGTGGCAGATTTGGTTAAGGATTGTCTTCATTTTCTTTGTCACACCATGCATGTTCCTTGTATTACCTGTGGATGCTATCTAGGTTTTGCTGTTGCAGTTGAGGCTTCAATTAAAGTATCTACCTCCCCTAGCATTATCATGGAACTGGAACTGACAATGTATTTCAACAGGGTAGGGCGGTTCTTTTGACCTGTTTGCCGGACAAATCTTTGAAATTTAATTTGGGTAAACTATACGTCTCAACTATTACTTTTATTCCTTTTTGATACCTAAATTTTATTTTATTTTTCAAAATTATGCTTAACGTTTAATATAGTTTTCATTTTGGTTCTCGCCGTTAAAATCTTAATGATGATGTTGATGTATCATCATAAAATAATGTCATGTCATTAAAAAAATAAAAAGTATCACGTCAATGGTTTTGTTAAAATTTTAATGCCATGCCATTATTGAAACCAATAAAAAGTGTTAAATTTTTAATGGTGGAGTATTAAAATGAAATATAAATTAAATATTATGTATGATTTTGAAAATAAATGAATTTTGCGTATCAAAATAGACAGAAGTAATAGTTTAGGTATTAAATGTATAGTTTACCCATTAATTTAGGGACATAAAGTTGGAAGAGGGGGTTTGGTTTCAGTCACCACAATCCATTTGGTTTTCGACCAAACTAACAACCAAGCGAAAACATTGAATCATTAATTCTTTGATCATTAAAAATGAGGTCTTTTAACCATCATCAACAGCATTGACCACTTCCCTAACCACGTAATTGTTCACCCTCACCGCCATTCAATCCGAATCCTTTCCATATCATTGACACCACCACGATCATCCGCTCAGCACAATCACCATCAACCATCTACCTTCAACTCGAATGAAACCTTACCCAACCTTGGATCCACATAAAATCCAATTGAACTTTTCATTCACAGTAATTAAGCCATCTTTATCAACCAACGATCACCATTGTTTCACTAATATGCCATCACCCGAAACACCCAACAACCTTTACCCAAGAATTCAAGAGAAAAGCAAGAACTTAAAGCAACAAGGAGAAGAAAAGAGGGGAGAAAAAACAAACAGGAAAGATAGGCTCATATAGGGGTGCTTATCGAGCGAGTCGATTGCGAGTTGGATAATGTTCGATTCATGCTCATTAAAAAAATTTATTATTCGACTTATTACTTGTTAAGCTCGTTAAAATTTTGTTTGATTCGTGATCAATTAAAGAACTGGTTGCTTAACTTGACCCGTTAAGCTCTCCGTAATTTTTACCCTTTTTAACTATAGATAAAATCAACTAATATTGTATATGTAAACATAACTTTGCAAATTTAACCAAATAAAATATTATAAAGACTGTATGAAGCAATTTCAAATTTGATCAAATTAACAATTAGAAATATTTTTGGGAAAAAAAAGTTCAACAATACATTATCAATCCTAAAAATAAAGAAATCAACATCTCTTTACTCTATTGCTTGCAATAACAAAACTACAAAGCTATAAAAAAAAATTAACGAACTGTTTGTGAACTTATCGAGTTAAGTTGAACTTTGTTCGATTCAACTTGTTAAAATCTCGAGTTGAGTCAACCCGAATCGAACTTTAACCGAGTTGAATTCTAATTGCTCACGAGCTACTCAACTCTCATTATTTTGCAAAACTGATACTCTTGCAGTCGGTCTTTAATTTGTTCATCTTTTTCATAGATACCTTCTGATTGATTCTTTCCTCTCTGTTTCCTGCAACTAAGAGGTTCTATCAATTGTGAGTTTTAAAAAAAATTATCTTTTGCTGTGGATTTTACCGAATTACACTGAGTTGGGTCGGTGTTTTTCCTCATGGGTACTGCTCCAACTCAGTGCCCATCTGGAATCACTGCAAGTTTCCATGCCAAATTTGATAACAGAACTGAGTTTTCAAGCTCCAGTTTCCCATCCACTCTTAATCTTACGAAGCTTAGCTTTCACCCCAATTCCAAGGTATTATATATATATATTTTGTTTTTAAATCATATCTTTGGTTTGTGTATACAATATCATTTTGTTAATAGATTCTTGCTTTCCTGCAAATTTTATGGGCTAATGCAATTATGGTTATTTTTTGTGTTTAATGTTGTTTTCTTTCTAGATATCTGTGCTTTTAAGGCTGTAGCTTTGTACCTTATTAGAGGCATAACACATTTTATTTGAAATGTTTATCCATGGATGAACTGGAGTGATTTATTAGAAGCCGTGGAGGGAATTGGAAATGTTTTTTGGGTTGATTTTGTAATTGTAGAAATGACATTTGTAATTAGAGTACTGAATTTTATAATCTTTTTTTATTAGTCAATGTACCGGAAAAGCTAATAAAAAAACCAGCTGTATTTTCCTTTATTTTTGTTGAAAGACTCACCATTGGTAGTTATGTAAATGTCAATGGAAATTTAGCTTTAGCTAGTTCTGACCAAGAAACCGCTGTTTTTTTTTTTCTTCTTCCTATGCCATGAGTGTATGTGCATCGAATCTAAATTTGCTATGTTGCAAAAGCCATTAATTTGATTTTAATATCTGTTTTTTTGTGGTTCAGGGATTAGTAAATAGAATAGGTTCTTTGCCTGATATCGATGATTTGTTTTGGGAGAAAGTCCCTACACCTCTACTTGATGTGGTTGAAAGCCCCATTCACTTGAAAAGCTTGAGCATCAAGGTTTGTATTATGAGCCTTCCAATGCTTAATATCGATGCATATGGTTTAAGCATACTAAATAAAAGTTTGGCATTGCAGGAACTGAAATTATTAGCAGATGAAATCCGTTTGGAATTGTCTTCTACAATGTCAAAAACTCAGAGTTCTTTCAAGGCCAGTTTGGCGGTAGTGGAACTGACGGTTGCATTACACTATGTTTTTCATACTCCTGTCGACAAGATTCTGTGGGATGCCGGGGAACAGGTAACATCATATTCCATGCAGTTCTTAACCTGCTCCTCTTTCTTAGATTTTATATAAGGATGCTTCTATATCTATCTTGTTGAGCAAATGGTGAATGTGTTGAAGGAAGCGCCATATTGTGTATTTGCACCTCAATATTTGATCTATGCTCTGGAATTATTTCTTCTACTATTTTTTCTTTTCTTGGCAGACATATGCACATAAAATTCTTACAGGAAGGCGGTTCCTCATGTCTACACTGAGACAAAAGAATGGCCTTTCTGGCTATACTTCCCGAGCTGAGAGTGAATATGATCCTTTTGGGGCTGGGCATGGATGTAACAGTATATCTGCTGGACTTGGTAGTAATTTTGTTGCCTATTGTCTGCTATATTTTTTTAGCTTTTTATGGCATATTATTTTTTATCTTCAGAATGAAACTTGGAAAATTGAGATTCCTGCGTTGCATTAGGTATGGCAGTGGCACAGGATATTAAAGGCAAGCGAGAACGTGTAGTTACAGTCATTAACAACACCACAACTATGGCCGGTCAGGTCTATGAGGCCATGAGCAATGCTGGATATTTGGATTCAAATTTGATCGTGATACTTAATGACAGTCACCATGCTTTGCATCCAAAGATAGAAGAGGGCCCCAAGACATCTATCAATGCTCTATCCAGTACCCTTAGCAGGATTCAATCAAGTAAATCTTTTCGCAAGTTTAGAGAAGCTGCTAAGGTAAGTTTTTATGTAGCAGTCCTTCCTACATACTTGAGACTTGAGTAAACATTGAAGAAACATCTTTTCTTGTCCCTTCCTGTTTGTAAGTGAATACTCAAAGATGCATCACATTGAAAGCTGTCTCAAATGCAAGTGTATTTTTAATGTCACCTGCTGGTACTGCCTTGTTGGTTCATACATTTTCGTAAAACCCATTTGGACGTACTCTATTCTATCACACAATCAATTGTCAGTCTGTCTTATGCTGGGGATGATTGGAATTTGGAGTTCAGGAATTCAGAGAAAAATGCCTGGATTTTAGAGTTAACTGATATATTCTGTAAATAAGGTGATTATAAAATAAATGTTTGGATAGATGAGGTCCTTGGGCCGCATTTTGGCAAAAAAAAAGATTACGTGTTGGTAGTTCTTTCTTTGAAACTTCCATCGAGACAAGTTCAAAAGGAAATCGTTATGCTGTTTTAATGGTGTAGAAGTACTTCATTTCCGTGTAATAAATAAATCTTTATTTTTCAGGATGTTACCAAAAAAATTGGTATGGGAATGCATGAACTGGCAGCCAAAGTTGATGAGTATGCACGTGGTATGATGGGTCCACCTGGATCAACTCTCTTTGAAGAGCTTGGGCTGTATTATATTGGCCCTGTTGACGGACACAACATAGAGGATTTGATATGTGTTCTACAAGAAGTGGCATCACTGGATTCAATGGGTCCGGTGTTGATTCATGTGATAACAGAGGAAAATCAAGGTTCAGAAGCTGACCAAAAGAGAGGGACAGTGGAGCAGCAGCAAGAAGGTAGTCCTCCTTCTATATGTCCTTAAACCGTGTTTGTTACAAAAATTATTATCAATTCTTCTTCAATTAATGAGGCGTAATGCTAGTTTGACTCAAGTACAATTAATACATCTATTGTTGTTTACTATTTCTTTAATATGTAGATTACAGACAGAGATGGAAAACATATAATGATAGGGAACTTCGTTTTCTCTACGGTTGGTATATTATCTATGTATTGTCATGTATCATAATAGAGTGCATTCTCAAGGAGATTAATCACCTTCTGCTTTATAACGAATCGGTCTTTTGTCTTAATGCCCTGAGGAAATCAGCCCAGATCTGAAAATGACTAATGTTATGTCATTGATTTTTGTTTGCAAAGCTTTAATTTTTTCCATTCTCCTCGGGAAAAATTGTATGAAAACACCCCTTTTGGTCTCCTGCACATTGCATGCTTACTGCTAACCGCTCCTCACTACACTTATATTTCTTACAGGTTCAAGTTTAAATGGAATTTACGCTTTCTCAAATGGTGATAGTTGCCAAACTTATAGTGATTGCTTGGTGACGGCTTTGATTATGGAGGCAGAGAAAGACAAAGATATTGTAGTAGTTCATGCTGGAATGGAAATGGATCCATCACTTAAGTTATTTCGAGAACGATTTTTTGACAGGTTTTTCGATGTTGGAATGGCCGAGCAACATGCAGTTACATTTTCAGCTGGTTTATCATGTGGAGGGTTAAAGCCATTTTGCATAATTCCTTCTGCCTTCCTTCAGAGAGCTTACGATCAGGTTCTCTCTCTCCTCCCTCTGCACATTCACCGTGCACCTGCATGCACGATCGTCAAAATATTTTTTCATGATGTAGTGCTGCCTCTTTTAACCGTGTACTTATTTATGCATGTGAAATCTGGTGTTTTTAGTTGTTGCGCCTTAAGACTTTGTTCTACTGTGCAGAAGTAGATGTGGATAAAATTTTTATGCTTCCAGGTTGTCCATGATGTAGATCGGCAGAGTATTCCTGTGCGATTTGTCATTACGAGTGCAGGCTTGGTAGGATCAGATGGTCCTTTGCAGTGTGGGGCATTTGATATAACCTTCATGTCATGTTTGCCAAACATGATTGTCATGGCAGCATCGGATGAGGATGAGCTGATGAACATGGTTACTACTGCTGCCCAGATTGATGACCGGCCAATTTGCTTTCGATATCCGAGGGGTGCCCTAGTCATGAGAGAATATCCAATATACGTGGTGGAAATGCTCTTGAGGTTATCATCCTTTAAAGCCCTTTGTTTCTAATTTATTGGCTCGTATTTTTAGTTTTATTAATTGGAAAAAGTTGTATCAGGTAATGCCGATTAATAGTTTTTAAAGGCTTTCAACTCTTTAGATGTTTTCATATGTGAATTTCAAACACTAAAATTTTTCGATACTGTTTCGTCTTTTGAAATCTTGACCACAATGCAGATTGGAACAGGTAAAGTTCTTGTTGAGGGTAAAGATGTTGCTTTACTTGGGTATGGGGCAATGGTTCAAAACTGTCTCAAAGCTCAGGCCCTTCTTTCCAAGCTCGGTATTAGTGTAACGGTTGCCGATGCAAGATTCTGCAAGCCTCTCGATATCAAGCTTCTCAGGCAGCTTTGTAGCAATCATGACATTCTGGTAACTGTTGAGGAAGGTTCCGTTGGAGGATTTGGTTCCCGCGTTGCTCAGTTCATTGCGCTCGATGGACAGCTTGATGGAAGACTCAAGGTAATATAATCATTTAGCAGCTAGATTTTGAGCATGGGGTTGGGGGAAATATTCCTCGTAACACTGATGATTTACTGAAAGAATTTCCACAGTGGCGACCAATTGTATTGCCGGACAGCTATATCGAGCATGCATCGCCTGGAGAACAGCTTGCTCTTGCCGGGCTGACTGGACATCACATTGCTGCAACCACATTAAGTCTTCTCGGACGTACCCGTGAAGCTTTACTTTTAATGTGCTAGAATGTGGCGTGGTTCTTCCTTACCGGAGAGGGCTAAACAGAGAAGAGCAATAATATTGTTGCATTGATTATCCCTATAACGTGTATATCAGGGACTAAAATTACGATTGCAGTCACATTTTCGGTTGTATTGTGTTTATCGCGATTGCGGGCATAACGGGTGTTATTGTGGTCATTGCAGGTATTACGGTCATACAATAATGGTTTCGGATATAACACCGCTATTCAGATAGTGGACAGCTAGTGTATACTTCTCTAAATATGTTATAACGTGAATTGTCAAATTACCCCAGAATTATGAGTGAATGAATTTACAGAACTGTTTTTAAAATCTGTCTTAATTTCACTTTAAAAACTTTATGCACTATTTTTTCCAATAATATTTTAAAAAATATTTTTTTTAAAAACAATGAAATTTTAGAATCATTTTTTAAGATTAATAATCAGTTTTTACCTTTAAAAAATAAAAAAATGGAGAAAAGATGTGAAATATTATTTTTAAAATAATTTGTTCTTTAAAATTAATAAGATAGAACAAATTATTTTTCCAATATTATAATTTTTATAGTTTATTTATTTTTTATGACTATTAATATTGATATTTTTTTACTTAATCACTTTTTAAGTTTTTTAAAATTTTAAATTAGTTAAATTTAATCTTAACTAACTTAAATTTTATGATTTAACTACTTTTAAAAAGATAATTACCCTTTCATAGTTGCACTTTATTTACACTTTTTAGAATCTAAAGTGATAAGATCTGTAAATATTAATGAATAAATATATTTATCAATAAAAGCCTCGTAATTCAATAGAGTTACTAACGAATTTTAGTGATGATATTGACTAAATTGAAATGTTTTGTAATTGAGTAGCGAAATTAACAATAACCTCATAACTGGATGATACCTGTTTAATTTAACCCAAATAGTAACCTTAATGTTTCTAAGATGAATATATTGCCACGTCATACTAGACACTTCGAGAAGAAAAAAGATAGAAAGTAGAGACTATCATATAAGCGCAACTAAAATCTGAGGCTCGAGAAGAGTCGAAATGTCGTCGTTTTTGAAGTCACTCCTCGATCCCAAGAAGAACCCTTTGGCAGCCATGCACATGAACTCTGTTTCCAAACGCCTCCGTAGATACGGTACAGTTTTTCCTCCGCTACAACATTTATTCTGATTTCTTATTTATTTTTTTCAATTAATTTTATTTGGATGATTTGTTTAGGCCTTCGCTACGATGATCTCTACGATCCTTTATACGATCTGGATGTCAAGGAGGCGTTGAACCGGCTGCCCCGTGAGATCGTCGATGCCCGTAACCAACGCCTTAAGCGTGCGTTGGACCTCTCCCTCAAGCACGAGTATCTCCCCGAAGATCTTCAGGTTTTCTTTTCTTTATCTTCTTTGTTTTAACTTTATGTTAACAATTTTGAGTGCTTAATTTCAGAGATTTTCTTATTTGTTTATTTTTTTAGTAATTCTGAAACCGATGATATAACCATTTGAATTTTAAAGATTTTTTTTATCTTCGTAAAACATGTTAGGAAAATAGACTTGTTGTAATATATAAAATATTAACAGCAAAAATACTTCAAATAAAATAGTTCAAATCATATGTTTGTAAACCCACTCCATTTTGAAAGGAGACAGACAAGCCGGAAAAAATAGCATTAGCTAACTAGTGTTTGATATTTACATTCATCTTTCACTCAATGATTGTACTTTGAGGTCTCATAAAGTCATAATTGATTGGGTTTTTATTTTAATTTTTTCCCAGAAAATGCAGACACCATTTAGGAGCTATCTTCAAGATATGCTTGCTCTTGTAAGTTCTCCAATACTAATCTCTGTTGATTAGCTTATTGGTTTAGATTCCCTTTTGTCTGTTTTTCGTTTTGGCCTTTGCTTATTGCATGGAACCAGACATGTTTGTGTTCGACGACGCGGGTGTGATGACTTATTTCGATTACTTCGACATCGATACTCTCTGTACAAAAATGCAGAAGAAGTGTTTGAATTAAGATTGGTTTTTTGTTTTGGGTTTCTTTGTAGGTGAAGAAGGAGAGAGCAGAGCGTGAAGCATTGGGAGCTTTGCCTCTGTATGAGCGAACCATTCCTTGAGGTTCTTAAAGCTCTTTCTCTCTTGTTGATATTTGCCTTGAAATGATTTGCATGTTGTATCATATACTGCTTAGCTTAGCTTAAGTGGACATGAATTTTGCCTTTACCACTTGCAGATTGCAGTGATCTATGTTCGTGTTTGAATAGAATCTGTAGGATGGTTTAATCTGTTGCCAATATCCCACTAATAATAATACATAATCGTTTCTTATGCTTCAATGCAATCATTTTTACAGTAGTAAACTATCTGAGTTTTCGTAATTCTATTATGAAAGCCATTTATTTCTAGCTGCAATTCATACATGCCTTTTAAAAAACAAAATATTTTTCGATGAAATTGAGACAACATATTTTTTAACTTGTGATTTAAATCCAAAGAATTCTCAGTCCAGTCGTGAAGCTATCAACATTATTTAGGATAAAAAATATTTTACTTTATGTTTATGTTTCAAAAACCAGAGATTATTTTGGGTGATCGAATATTTATAAAATTATTATTCTAAAAATTATTATTTTAGAGGTTCATGTACAACTCGAATCAAAATTGAATATGAAAGTTATGTATGTGGAAGGTTAAGATACCTTCCTACCTAGACAAAGCTAGTACATTGTTTAATAATATATGTTGTTTCGTTTTTACAATAAATGAAACAAATAATAATAATAATTTGTAAATAAATAAACATAACACATAACAATTAAATAGCTTAAAGAAATAAATAAGTAAGTAAATATATAGGTTAATAAAACCAAATAAATAAAAGAGGTTAAAATTGCAAAAGGTAAAGAAATTAAAATGATTAAAAGTGCAATTAATTATGCAATAATAGTAAATTTTAGTATATACAAAGTTAGAAAGATCCTGAAAGTAATTTACCCAAAAATTAAAAAAAACCACAATCTTGTCAGATTCTAACTCGGATGCACAGGTTGCACCTCCAAAACAATATTATTTTGATGTCTGAATAATCTTCTATAAACGATATCGTTTTAAACGACTTTAAATATCATTTTTCACAAGTCGTGTCGTCGGGTACAAGACCTCTCAAGCATTTCATTATGCAGATTGCCTTCTCAAAAGTGTCCCGCTATCAAAGCATTATTATATATAAGAAGGTTAGGAGTAATGAATGCCCTGTCGATCCATCTCTTTCAAAGGCCATTTAACAGAACAGTACAAGTGACTATACTAGGCACAATACCCTTGCCAACAGGCCCCGTCCATTATTTCTCTTCTTCTTATTGAACCCCCAAACCTTCGACCATCTTTATTGGTTATTCTCCTCCCTTTTATTCAGTCTCGGAGCCACCCGTGGTGGGAAGTGGTTGGCTTTCCTGATGAGAGTGCCTCCTTTCTATCTTCCGGGAGTGAGTCGATTCCATTAACTAGAGATCTTCTAGGAAGCTTTATTCTACCCCAAAGACTACTACCAAGGAAACTCTCAGATGGGGAGGTACATGGTGAGTCTCTCCAAGATAACCATAATAAAGATCAAACCTCGATCAACAAATCTATGGGGACTCAAAGGAATGGTCTTGCGTGGCACATTATTCGCCAGGTCAGCCGATTAACATGCCACATCAACATTCCATCACTTAACAATAACAACCATTAATGTTAATTATCGATTTGTTATAATTTGATAACATTAGTGACTAATTCGTTAGTTTTTAAAACTTCAATAGAAAAACAAAAATTTACTCAAACCTATTTATGTAGTTTACCCACAAAACTATTCATTCTTGGCGAATGACAATCTAGAACATATCATTTACTTAAAATTGAGGTAAATATATTCAAGTGATTTTAATTCATAATCGAACTAAATATTAATTCAACTCGAGTCTAGTCCAATATAATGTCTTATTCAATCAACGCTCCGATGGTCAAGCCAAATTATGACCACTTTCGATTTTAGAAAAGATAATAATCCTATTATGAAATATATATTCCATAGGCTAGTGAAATAGTTAGATTTCATTGTTTGATGAAATTGGCAGGCCCCGTGTTAGCAAAACAAGTTTCCAACGTACAACAGTAAACAAGCCTCCGAGTTGGTCGAAGCAGGATCATTGTCTCTGTTCTCCTTCCCCTTTCTCAGTTGAATTCATCTCTTTCAGTGCATCCTCCGCTTTTATTTTCTGAGGGACATAATCTGCAAGTTTCCATCAAATGTAAATAATCATGGAAAAAGCTTGGAATTCCAACAACCTTTTACGAGATAGATCACGAATAAGAAAGGGCCGTGGAAAGGTGCTGATTAGTTCAAAAGCTTCAGTTTTCTATTTATTTGTTCCCTTTTTCCAGTTCTACGACTCCCAACTCAGATCAATCCCATATTCAGCGTCGTAAAGAGATCAAAATTAGCAATACCTGATAGGAAATCGTATCTCTTCCGTTCATGAACAACTGTTGCTGCAAAAAAAAAGAGGAGCACAAGCACCTCATTAACATGCACAACAAGCACAAGCAATGGAAGGAGATTATGTAGTGTGATATATTATAATTGAAAATCAGAAGAAAGAACCAAGTGCAATACCCAAAAACTCAGTTTCAATGACACAACAGCATTGTTCGCAGTGGATCCCGACCCAGACAAGCAAGGGGTCGGTTTCGATACAACATAGGAATCACTATCCATATATGACTCTAACCTCATAAACAGATCTTAAACTAAAAATTTTATAAGCTCGTCCATAGCAGAATTCTTCCTACCGATCAAACTATGAAAATGGACTGACTTTTTTTTTTTTAATTTCAGAAACATTTGTGTAACTATAGATATCAATATTTACGAACATATGACAGATCCAACCAAACCACTCAGAGATAAAATCATTCTGAACCCCAATTTTAACTGGAAATCCATCACCCGCTTCGATCCTTGCAATAGTATTTAGTGTTGTTTAGCCATGGCTCATGCTAATATTCTACATTTTAAAGACATTACAGTATCGCCGAATACAACCAGCAAAGAAAACAATGTATACAAGGAGGATCAAAAGCAACTTACCTAGGTGCTTATAGCTAAGCGATTTTTTACGATCCTTCACGGAGCATTTGTATCCATCTTCACAAAAATTTTCAAGGAACATTTCCTACAGAGATCAAGAATACATTTAGAAATTAATAAAAGATTCAAACACAGATAACAAAGCAAAGTGATGATTACCATTAGATCATCAAACAATGCTCATACCATTTTCCTCAGAGAAGAAGAAACCACATACACACAAAGAACTAAGTATATCGTACAAAAGGAAAAAAATAACCCAGTTTTGGCAGAATTTGAAAATCCCAACTTTCCAATACATTTTCAGTCAATCATGCATTCAAACAAACATAGACCCCATATATGACAGAAAAGCGTGAATCTTTATCAATCTTTAACCTTTGAAGATAAACGCATTGAAAAAAAAATATCACCTTCAAGAAAACCCTAAAGACATTCAAGAAAATAACCAAAAAAATGTAAAGAAGAAGGAATTACCGAGGCTTTGTTAACAAGGAAAACAACATCTTGAGAAATAGCCATACGAGAATCTTCAGTCTTGATTATCCTCTTGATTCTCTGCATTGGAAACCTACACACCGTTGTTTCTTCTCCTCCTCCATTTTCTTCTATTTTTTCCTTTCGTTTCCCCTTGTTGTCGGGTTTAACATTCTTGTGGGTCTTGTTCTCGTTTGATTCAGTGCTTGAGGATGGGTCGGGAATAACCTGGGACTTGACCGGGGCTCCATTGCTGCTCTTCTTCTTACTTTTGTCTGCCTTTGGCTTTGATTTGTTGGCTTTTGGAGAGACACTTGCTTTATTCTCTGGTTTTTTAATGGGTTTTTTTGACACTTTGGGAGCGGTTTTGTTGCTCTTCTCCTTCTTCGAGTTCTCTTCTTTGGGTTTCTTGGAAGAGGAGGCCATGGCGCGCTCTCTCACACACAGAAAATGGAAAAATCTGAACTACAAACTCCACAGATGAGAATTGAGATGTGATATCAAGGCCTTCATGTGGAATGGGCTCTTTCATGTTATCTTTAGATGGGCCAAGCACGAATATAGTCTAATCAAATGGAGTGAAAAAGACATAGGGTACGTCCTAAATAGGGCCTAATTTTTTTAAATTAGGATTAAATTGAAATTTTAATTAAATTCGGAGATCAAAATGAAATTTTGTATAAAAAATTTTTTTTTTTAAATTCGGAGACTAACTACTAGGGATTGTCATGGGTCGGATTTTTGGTCCATCCGACCCGAGAACAATGACTCCTCCACTTGAGATCCGACCCGCATGAAACAAGATTTCACTCGACCCGATAAATAACTTAAAAACACGATCCGACCCGAAATAATAAAAAAATAGTGACTTAATTGAAAAAATAATATAGAGGGGTATTATTGTAATTATCTATAAATATATAAGGTAAAATTATATTTTTCAGTCAGGTCGGATCGTGTATTTTTCACCACAAACCAAATCTGACTCAACCCGAACATCACATATAAAAAATCCGACCCAAACCTTATTTTATAAATAATTTAAAAAACCGACCCGATCAGGTCATGGCTGAAAGGACGTCTTTATATTTAAATAGTATTTTATACTGTAGTGTCAGAACTAGATCGTTGGCTATGTTGATCAGATTAAACGAGCAAACTTTAACTAAATATTTTATGTTTTGATTGATTTACGATATATTAAAGTATGGCTGCTGGAATTATTTTTCTAAATTTATATTTTTCTATTGGTGTTTCGTATTAGAAAACATATAAATAAAAATGTCCAATCTACAAACTTTTAACGAGTATGGAACATTTATGACATCATAAATTATTTTTGTTTGGCGGCTAATGAAAAAAAAAGAAAAAAAATATTTTTTAATAGTATGATGTCCATCTAAAGCATATCAAATGGCTCGATGGATATATTTTTGTTAATGTTTTAGATTCCACAGTGTTTTATATTCGAGTTATCGAAACAACGACTCAACAAAAATCATTTAGATAAAAGTATTTAAACATCGAATAAATTTAATTAGTAAAGTGTAGGAGTTAAAAATAGTTTATAAAAGTGAAGCTCAACGAATAAATAATTAAGGTAAACTATATCAGACACTGATGAAGTTTAGATCATGTATAGTTGATATCACCGAACTTTTAATTTCATCAATTATTGCATAGAAATTTCAATTTTGACTTCAATTATGTCATTAAATTGATAAAAGTTATCGTATTTTTCTCAATGATCTTAAGATTAGACACGAGTAAAATAGTTGTTTTTTTACATATATTTAGATACGAGTAAAATATCAAAATTCTTCGAGTATATATTTTCTTTGAAGAAATAATATATTCTTAGGTTAGACATGTACCTTAAATCTAAACATAAAGTGAGATTAGTAATCCATAAGAAGCCTATTAACACCCTTATATAGATTAAGACGTATAAGCTAGTTTACATGAAGCTGAATCTGCCCTTGAAAGAACCATATCAGAAAATAATGTTAAGCAAGTTGCTTAAGCTACAATTTTATATCTGCAAATCACCTTACACCTTAAAACCCTTCCCCGAACATAGAATCCAGGCATCGCCATGATCTTAACCCGACTCGGTCCGTGTGACTTCTGCCTTTCCATGAACACATCCTCCATGTAATGTGGATCAAAGGTTCTATTTTCTTCGACCCTTAAGATCCCCACTGGTGGATTGAATGAGAATGCCAGTAAATGAAGCAGCCATATGCATTTTGCTGCAACAAAGAAGGCTTGAAGCATCTGTTCCGGCCACGGTCTCGTCCAATTCAGCGTCGAAATGATTAAACTCATCTTCTGATCACAGAACTTACTGAATTCCTCACTGTAACATTTAGTCCCTTCCCTCAGCACTTCGTTCCAACTAAGGTTTCTTAGTGCAACGAACGACGAAAACTGCGCTTGGCGGTCTTGTTGAGGGTCCAAGAGCTTTGGGGATCCGTTTTTCTGAAACACGGAGTTCTCGAAATCTTGGTAGAGTGATTGGTTTATGTTTGCTTCCAAGTGGTATAATACCGCCTTTGAGTACTTTGAACTCAACGAAAGTTTATATGGTTGAAGAAGCAAGTTCAAGTTGTCCATTAAAGTACTGTCACTCTCTTCAATATGAGCAACAAGTGTCTTGCAGAATTGTTTCACCGATAATCTCGCTTCGGATACTATCTGCAAGAAACCCTCTACCATTACCTTCGCCGACCGGCATCGGGTCTTCTCCGTCGCCACTGATGGATTTCCCTTTCCCAAGCTTTCATTGATTTGAGAACCCTTTGTTTGTGTTGCTTGCCTTAAGGCTTTCTTCAGCTCTTCACAATAGGTTTCTAAGTACTCCAGCTTCTGCTTGAGGTCACCTAGTGAAGATCTCATCTCAACAACTTCCATCAATGCGGCATCCCTATTCTCATTTGCTTCCATCAGCTCTCTCTTCAATTTTTCTATGGATAATATGCCGAATTCCTTGAATATTTGCGAAACATCCTCCGATTTCGTTCGAGTCGGCGAATTCTCAGTCTTGTGTTTCTTCTTCAGCTTAGGGAATAACCACGAAATCATCCCTCGGTTCTTCGGCTGCGGTTGAACAGACGAGTGAGAGTCGGTTAACGGCACCACCGTATTCGAACTCTTGGTGTTCCTAACGTGTTCAGATTCCGCCGTTATAACGGCGGGCTTGCATCGATTGCAAGATGACAGTGACTTGAAATCGCCCAGACTATTTCTCCTACTCCTAGTGGACTTGTAAAATTCAGTTCCCGGAGATGTTTGTAGGACAGTAATGTGGTTTGCACAAGAACCGTAACGGACATTTGATCTTCGGCCGGACAAACATGCGAGTCAAAGGCGGGCATTGCCGGAGAGAGACCGTTCCTCGAACCGGAAATCTCTTTCTTATAATCTGATAAAACAGTTTCAGTGCCATTTCCTGCTTCCAAGCCATATTCATCCCAACTTTCAGATAAAACTTGGTTATTTGTATGGTATCTCGATAATGCTTCACCTTCATAACTCTGTCAAAATGTTTAAAATTAGTGACAAGGTAGGAGTGAACAAAATTAGACTGGACTCTAAGAAAAGCCATTCGACTTGACTCGACTAGTAATTTCATAAACTCGATTCGATTCAATTAAAAAAAATTAAATAAAATTTGCCTACAAAATAATCGATTCTATTTGAATAACTCAAAATTTTTGTAATAAGTTAATTGGTTTTCATGTTCGAATCGAGTTCTTTAATTCTATATATTATTATAGAAAACTGTTTAAATTAAAATCAATTAATACTATAATATTAAAAATATTTACAATTAAATAAATTCAAACGACTTACTCTCATAAATTTAACATGGAAAAGGATTTTTAAACAAAGTTTGAGTTATCACCTCGATTGACTTCAAATTTTTATCTCATAGTCATCACTAAGCATAAGTATTGCCATTTCACACAGATGACAGAACAAAAAAAAACACTTAACAAATCACTGTGAAAAAGCTAACTTTGATCCCTGGATCTATTGATTCATCGTTCAAACAAGTAATTTAAAATTAATAGAAAGAGAAGAGTGGAGATGAACTCACAGGAGTGAAAACAGGGTAATCTTGAGCAGACAACAGAGCAGCAGGGCGTGAAACAGGAGATGAAAAAAAGGGTATTTTTTATTTGCAGGGCTGTTGTTCCCCATCACCAAAGCTGCATGTAAAGCTCTAAGCTCCACTGCCTTGGCAATGGCGGCCTGTATATCTTGCCTGCTAACTTCATTGTTACTGTTATCATCACACTCTTTGTTTCGAAAGATTTGGGCAGCAGCCATGAACGGAGGATGAAACAGAGCACCACTGCATATACTAAAAATACACCAATGATGAATTTTCTTTACCCTTTTTTCCACGTTAAAAGAAAACAAGAACAAGGAAGAGGATTAGAAAGTGGGTATTTAAGGGTTGGATTAGATTTACAGAGATGAAGATGATATGAACCAGAAAGTTGAAAGACAGAGAGAAAGAGAGAGATGAATGTGTAGGCAGGGCCGTGGTAGGGTTTTCGGGCATGTACAAAAGGACCCTTATTTTTTAGATATATTTGATTTCGGGGTAATAATAGTGGCGTTTTCTTGACAAACGCCGTAATAGATCCACGTTTTATCAATAAAGCTATAATAATAGTGACGTTTTTAAAAAAAAAGTCGCAATAGGTCCATCTATAATAGCGTTTATTGATAAAACGCCACTATATATATATATTTTTTGGGACCCATTTATTGGAGGTCCTGCTCGGTCGCGCAGTTTGCGCCCCCAGCCACGCCCTGTGTGTAGGGTATGTCTCTCAAATCCAATGTCTGTTTTGTCTTTGATCTTAATGAATAAAGAGAATGACAACATGTGAATCTTAGAGTTGATGACTATTGATGAATTTGTAGCTAGATAGATCTAATTATAATGTAGTATATTTAGTTAATGATGAGATTAAGGAAGATTATATCAAGAGACTATAACTAAGTGGAGGGAATGATATAATTTCTTTGGAGGAGTCTCCAGATATATTAAGAAAAATTTCACAAGTCTAAAAATTTATCGTGTGGAAGAATGGCAATGAAAGGCGATAATATAAGTATAATATATGAAGTCGGTACATCAAACATAATTTTATATTCAAAATTGTAATATACAAAGTAATATACCAGTGAGGTAAATGGAGTATTTCAAAAAAATAAGGTTTAATATAAATTATATACATTGTGATCACCTTTAACTATTAAAAATTTAATAGATATTAAATTGAAAATGGAATTCCACGTAAGATTAAGGGAAATAATTTAGATAGAGAGTTCGTTGTTTTCCATAACCACTTTTGTTGAGGAAATTATTAGTTAAATGAAATAAAGGGTTTTAAGGCAACTACCCCAGCCTGCTTTTTCGAACCTCCACATGCACAAAACAAGCTTT